TTGAGATGTAATCCATACTGAAGGCTGTGGTCTGTGATCTTCATTTCACTCCGTACTTCCTCCTAACCCTTTGCTGATCCCCCAGCTGGGTGTGATCTCACTTTCCCATAAAACTCAGTACCTTTCCCTGCCTTCCAGAGAAGCTGGCCTGGTGTGGGGCCTGAACATCTGCAGCCAGGGTAGAAAAACTGGCCTGGTGGGTTGCCTCTTGAAGGCTGTGGGGCTTGGAGTTTAGAACAGGAAGGAGCATTCACCAGCACTGGGCTAGGTGATTGATGTGTGTATGCTTATAATTTCTAATAAATACCAAAAAACGCCCACAAAGTATATATATTTTATTGTCATTTTGTATATGAAAAAACTGAGGTGCAAAACAGCTTGTGAGTGACTGGGGTGGGGCTTGGCTCTGGCTACCTGGCTACCCAATTCCAGAGGAATCCTGGGTGATGCAAATACTTAAGCAGTGGACTACTAACCAAAAGTTTGGTGGCTCAAACCCATCCAGAGGTACTGCAAAAGAAAGGCCTGGCTGGCAATCTGCTTCCGAAAGGTCACAAACCCTATGGAGCACACGGTTCTACTCTTGACACATATGGGGTCACCAGGAGTCGGAATCAACTTGACGGCACCTGGTTTACTGAAACCCAGAGTGTGGGCTCTTTCCAGGACACCACCCTGTTCTCTCCATGAGCATCTGCTCAGAGCTGATTTCATGGATGAGAAAGCTGAGGCCCAGAGAAGCTAAGCAACCCCAGGGCACACAGCAAGTTAAGTCCTGAACTATTTATTTGGACTGAAGTAGACACTAGCTAAATATAAGATTGAGGCGTTAGAGACCCTGGCGTCCAGGACTAGGGTGGCGTGTTGGTTTATTCTTGAGAGCCACCTCCACTTGATGGTGGCTGCCTGGATGAAGGGCTGTGCCCAGGACTGTGGAGGCCAGCCGAAGGGCAGCAGGAAACATGCCGTGATCGAGTCCTGGCTGCCATGAGTTCCAGTGGGGTTGGGGACACACACTCGATGGTTTTACCAGCACTGGCCCAGCAGCAGGAGGGAAGGAGAGAATTCACCTGCATGGAGCCTGCACTGTGGCAAACACTGACACATTTGTACTTCAGGGCTCTCCTGGAGAGAGCCCCAGGCTAGGGATCAGGCTGCTAAATTCTCTAGACTAGCAGGAACTAGTTATTTGACTGTGGACACACCGCTTAACCTCTTTGAGCTCCTCTTCTCTCTGCAAGAGAAAGCCCGCTGTGCTTAACCTCACTGGGCTCCCGGGAGGCTCAAAGGCGATAATAGACATGAAAGGGCTTTGAAAAGGCCAGGCGTGCAGCACAGAAGCCGGGTATCACCGTTACACCCTGATGGCGTTTGGTGCTTGTCTGTGGCTGATCACAATGCCTTCTGTCATTTCAGCTGAACAGCATTGGCAACTACTACAAGCCGTGGTTCTTCAAGCACGTGGAGAACTACCTGAAGAGAAACCAAGAGGGCCTGGAGTACATTCCCCTGAGGCACTACTATCACCGCCACACGCGCAGCATCTTCTGGGAGCTCCAGGTAAGGCTCAGATTTCCCAGCAGTCCTGGCTCCTCCAGCCGGGCAGAGAGGGCACCAAGGTGGTTAACACCGTGGCCAAAATCTCTTCCTAAGGGAAAAGCGCAGCTTTGTCCTAAGGAACTAGAATGCCTTCTTAAGCAGCAACAGCGTCGTCTCCTTTTGAGGGAAGCCACCACTTCATTAAAGCTGCGCCTTTTCCTGAGCATCTCCTGGGTGCCAGAGAGTAGGGTGCTGGGCCATGTAATTTCGGGAACTCAGGCCTGCTTGTGTCCCTGAGGAACAGCAGACAGATCCCGGCACTGTAGAGGGCCACAGGAACAAGAAAAAGAAGTGTGTGGTTCCGCCTAGGGCTGGAGGTGGGCATCAAGCATGGCCTGATGGTGAGCAGGAATCTCTGCTGTTGTGTGGATGAGGTAGGGAGGATATGGGCGGTGGCATTTTAAATAGAGGGGTCAGAGAAGGCCTCTAAGGAGAAGTCCATGAGCGGGGACCTGAACTTGGGGTGGGCAGGCCATGCAGCACTAGAGGAGGAGAGTGTCCCAGGTAGAGGAGCAGCCAGAGCCCAGGTCCTGAAGTGTGCTGCCTGGTGTTGAAAAATAGCAAGAAGGCCCTGGGGACAGAGTAAGGAGGAAAGAGGTCAAGCGCAGCCAGAGGCTAGATCCTGTGGTTGTGGGTTTTCCCATATTCAGCTGTGTGGGTGGCACAGAAGAGGTGGAGACTTAAACTTACTCAAGGTTGAGGTGTTGGAGGTGTTGGAGCCCTGGTGGTGTAGTGGTTAAGAGCTTCGCTGCTAACCGAAAGGTCAGCCATTCGAATCCACCAGCCGCTCCTTGGAAAGACCTATAGGACAGTTTACTCTGTCCTGTAAGGTCGCTATGAGCCAGAATTGACTGGATGGCAACAAATTTGGTTTGGGTTTTATGGTAGAGGAAAGAAGTCCCGGCGGCACAGTGGTTAAAGTGCTCGGCTGCTAACCAAAAGGTCGGTGGTTGGAACCTACCGGCCACTCTACAGGAGAAAGATGTGATAGTCTGCTTCCGTAAAGATTTACAGCCTTGGAAGCCCTATGGGGCAGTTCTCTTCTGTCCTATAGGGTCACTATGACTCGGAATTGACTCATAGGCAGTGGGTTTTGGTTTGGATAACAGAGGATGAGTGGGGCATGGTTGTTGATGATACAAGGGCGTGATTGTAATGAAATCTAAGGAAGGACTTTAGATTTGATTCATAGTGTTGTTGTAATGAAACACTCAACGAGTCTGTTTAAATTCAAAAACAGAGTTTTACTATGGCAAAGAAAGCGTTCTGCAAAACGGGGAGACACAGCGTGCTGCAGGGGCGGGGCTACAGTAATCCAAAGACTTATGAAGAAAAAAACTGCAAACAACAGGTTACAGCTAAAACAATTTTGATTGGTTAATATTTACAGAGTTGCAGGTGGCAGCACCTTGGTTGACCATCCTGGTAGGTGTTGACATCTTTTGCAAGGATGGCTCCAGGTGACAGGATTCTGGGTGACCACTAAAATCACATGTTCTCTGGCATCTAGACATCTGTAGTCTATGTTAAATTGAGTTACTTTAGCATTACGAAGGAGAGTTCTGCTGAAGTATAAAACAAAAAGTTCTAGGCTGATTATAAGTGAAAATGCTAAGTATTCTAATGCTTAAGGAGAGAAGAAAAGGGGTTTTGATCCAGAAAAGCCATAACTTTGTAACACTAGCTTATTCTAGGTATAGGTTTAAGGGGGAGTGGGGGGGGGCGTGGTTAGGCTGAGCAAAGTTATGGAAAAAGTACAGGGCCTTGTAAGGATTTAGACACAGGTTAGAAAAACTTTGACAGCTGAATGGAGACTGGATTGGGCTGGGGTTGTGGGGTAAGAGTGGAAGAGTTGAGGAAATGATTTTGGCTTGCCCAGGGTGGTAGCAGTGGAGGAGGAAAGAAGTGTCAGATCCAGGAGGTACTGTGAAGGCTGAACCAACCACTAGAATTTCCAGACAGACCAGACGTGGGTGTGATTCCAAGGTTTGGGGCTCAAGCAATGGGATGAATGGAAGGAAATCAGAAGTTTGGTCTGGGACATGTCAGTTTGAGGTCCTGTCAGACATCCAGTGGGTCATCTGAGCAGGCATCTGGCTACTTGTATGAGGACTTCAGGGCAGAGGCTGAGGCTGCAGGTGTAAATGTGTGTGGATGTCAGCAGCAGAGACATGTGACTAAAGCCATGTGAGCCTATGAGTGAGTATGGATAGAGAAGAGAGGAGGTCATAGAGCCGAGCCCCAGGCACCCCAAAGGTTTGAGGAGGAGGTATGGTCTGTCAGAGGGGAGACAAACCTGGAGAACATGGAGCCCCAGGAGCCTAGTGAAGACAGTGTTTCTGGAAGGAGAATGAACAATTGTGTTACATGCTGCAGAGTAGGATGAGCACTGAGAATCAACCTCTGGTCTAAGGCATGAGAAGGTCATTAGTGACGTTGAGCAGTGGAGGTGAAAGCCTGACAGAAGTAGGTTCACAAAAGAATAGGGAATGAGGAAGTGGAGACCATGAAAACAGAAATCTGAAGAGATGCACTCTAAAGGAAAGCAGAGAAGTAGGGTGATCGCTGGAGGTGGATGTTTATGTGACTCTTTGAGGAAAGGCAAGATCACAGCATGTTTATGTGCTAAAGGGAATGACCCAGTAGAGAGGGGAAGTAACAGTGCAGGTGAGATAGGGGTATATTTATAGGGCAAAGTCCTGAGGAGAGGAGTAGGGACAGACCCTGTGCTCAGGTGCACAGTTGCCTTTTGATGGGAGCCTGGAATGTTCATCCATTGGACAGGAGGGAACAAGGGTAAATGGGGACAGTTGCTACAAATAGGACGGTGTGGGTGGCGCAAAGGTGTGAGAGTTCTGTTCTGATGGCTTCTGTTTTCTCAATGAAATAGGAAGCCAGGATTTCAGTGAGAGTGGGGGTGAGAGGGTGTGGAAGATTTGAGAGAGTAGATGTGAAATCATCCATTGGAGGGTGGGAAGTGAGCTAACTGGGGAAATTTAAAGACGGCCAGGCAACACTATGCCTGCCTAAGATGATGTTCACGAATTTACAGTGTCGTTGTGGGTTTTCACCAGGGCTTTGAACCAGTTTGTTCTCTACTGAGAAGTTGCATTGCCACCCCAGATATACTGAATCAGAATCTACATTTTAACAAGATCCCCAGGTGATTCTTATGTATAATAAATTCTCATCTATAATAAATTCTGGTCCTCAGAATTCATCCCTAACCAGCAGCATTAGCATCTCCTGGGAACTTGTTAGAAATGCAAATTGGAACCCCCCTAAGACTATGGTCCTTAGATGCTCTTCAAACTTGGAACTGAAGCCACTCCTGGAGATCACATTATAGCCGTACGATAGACAGGCCTACAAAATAAGCAGTAAAATATATACCTCAGAACAGTCAACTATATGAGCTCTAAAGGGCAGCATTTGCCCAAAAGCAAAGTTCAGAAGGACAGTAGGGGCAGGAAAGCTGCATGAATAGACCTGGGGAACCCATGGAAGAAGTGGGGAGAGGGCTGACACATTCAGAGGTTTCCAACCAAAGTCACGAAACAAGCTGTGGATAAACTGTTGAGTGAGAAACTAATTTGCTCTGTAAACTTTCACCTAAACAACAATAAAATGTTCCCAAAAAAGGCAAATTCTCAGCAGGTGTTTGGACCGGAACGAACTGGTTTGAAGCCCTGGTTTTCACACATTCAGCTGTGTGGGTGGCGCAGCATAGGTAAGGATTTAGATTTAATCAAGGTTGAGGTTTTGCAGGTGAGTATGATAGAAGGCTAATGGGGTAAGATTGTTGAAGGTACAGGGCGTGACTATAACGAAATCTAAGCCAGCCAAGGGGAAGGGTGAGGATGGGAGGGGCTCTGTTGCTGATAAAGTGTTATGGTAGATTGGACGACCCAGAAGGGTGGAGAATTGAAGTCAGGGTACTAGAGGTAGTGAGCTGGAAAGAGAGGTGATGATGGTCACAGGACAAATGCTTGACATTGAAATTATGGAGACAATGAATACAGACAATATGACAACTCTATGGGTCGGCAGACTTTTTCTAAAGGACCAGGTAGTAAATAGTTTAGGCTTTGCAGCTGTACTGTCTGTCATAACTACTCAACTCTGCCTTTGCAGCGTGAAAGCAGCCATAGACAATGTGGACAAGTGGGCATGGCTTGTTCCTATAAAACTTTATTTACAAAATCAGGCAGTGGGCCAGATTTGGCCAGCAGCTTGGATCCCCATGGGTTGTATTTTGCTGTCCCCTGCTCCAGAGTTCTCCAGAGTTGTCTCACCTTGAGGCAAGGGACCTAGGACTTTATACCCCTTCCACCCACTTCCCTCATCAGCTGGTCATTGGCTGTGAGCTCTCCTTGAAGAAGTGGCATGAACTTGGATGAGGCAGCTCCCTTCAGGCAAAGGCAAGTCCCCGGAGAGGGACTCACCTCTGAGCATCAGCCACCAACACGGCCCACAGCTGGGAGAATGGGTGCCTCCCTGGAGGGGGCATCTAGGCAGAGCACCACAGCGTCATCTACTACAGTAGAACTGCAGAAGCCAAAACATTTCTAGAAAGAAAGAGTAATAAACAATTTCAAACGTCTTTTTCTTCCTCCCCTGGGGATAACTCCTTCTCCTCCCATTGGCAGCCTCCCCCCAGGTTCCTCCTTGCTGAATCTGGCCCTTTAATGACCCAATTGGGCCTGGCCTGGGTGCTGAGTACCTGAAGAAGCTGTGTTCTAGGTGATCAATCCATTCTGTCGCACCTGGGCTGGGCTGGGCCAGGCCTGGCTGGTGCAATCACCTCCCCTCCCCCAGCTTGGCCAATCAGCTGGCTACACAATCTGCAAGTCTGATCAGTGCAAAAAAGCAGGAAACGAGTGCTGTTAAGGTCCTAAAACCTTAAGCTTTTTCCTTTTTTCCATGACCTGTCTTGATTTGTCATAAATATTTGCTATTAATGTCATTTTAAGTAGAGAAAAATTAAAAATTTGAATTACTAGCCCGAATGTTACCTTTCGTCTTTTGAATAGAAATATAAAAATTACTTTAACGCTCCATGCGTATGTACTTTGTTCTTAACAGAGCAGTGGAAATGTTGCACAAAACTAACTCAGTTTCCTATGACACTTCCTGATACATGCACTACCATCTGCCAACACTGGCGAGTCAGGGAGGATGGAAAGGAAAAGGAGCTGTGGTTGGCCTAGCTTTCCCTTTCCTTCTGTGGCATCATTTTCAGCGGAAGTGGTTGGCTAAGACAGGGACGTAACACCAGTAAGAAAGGATACGATAGGGCTCCTTGGTTGTTTCTGTTTCTCGAAACACCACTGCACAGGCCTGTCTTTGGGCCCAGGGGCCTGGCTGAGGTTGGGTTCCTTGTATCTATAGTGGGGTCCTGCAGCCCAGCAGAGCAGAAGCGGCCAGTTACCTGGACACAGATGAAGGGCAAGGGCAGCTGGGAAGCCAAGGAGGGGAGGGCCTAGAACGAGGTTCTCTGGCGTGACTGACCTTCATGTGTTGACAGTAGGGACAGGCATGAAGCCAGAGTCGTAGGACCTGAGGTCACTAAGAGGCAGAAGGGCAACTAATGGGGCAGTCAGAAGCTGGAAGAGGAGGAGGGCAGGACATGTGTTTAAAACATGAACTCTGAGGCTGAGACTTTGGAAAAGGAGTGGTTCCAGCTGGTAGATTTACTAATAATTAACTACTTCCAGAAAAAAACAGTGTGAATGGTTTTTGAGCATAAGAAAAGTGATGCAGTCTCTCTCAGAATTAAAGAGTGAAACAAAACTACAGTGAGTCTCGTTTTTCACCTATCGCAATGACAGAGATCCAGACGTGTAATAGCACACCGTGCTGGCGAGGGTGTGGGGAAACAGTGTTCTCCTGTTTTGTTTGGGAGAGTATAAAATTGTGCAAGCTCTTGAAATAGTATCCATTAAAATTGCACACACTGTGTGAACCAGAATTTTCCACTTCTGGGAATTTAGCTTACAGATACTTACCAGTGGACAAAGACACATGTAAAAAGAATAATCGTTAGAATAATCTGGAAATAATATAAATGTCTTTCAATACAGAACTGATTAAATAAATTATGATGCAGCCATATGGTGGAGCAAGGGTCAGTAAATGTTTTCTGTAAAGGACCACATAGTCAATACTTTAGGTTTTTTGGGCCATAAAAGTCTCTTGTGCAGCTACTCTGCTGTTAAGAGTCTGAAAGTAGGGATAGACAATATGTTAATGAATGGGCATGGCTATGTTCCAATAAAACTTTATTTACAAAAGCAGGTGGTGGGCTGGATTTGTCCCATGTGGCACAGTTTGCCTCCCCTTGCAGTACAGTGTTATGCAGCCATGACAGTGAGGTAGCACTCTGTACTGATAAACAGAGCGATTTCCAGCATACATTGATAAGCAGGGCCCAACAAGATGCTACCATGTATGTGTGCGCATGTACTCGTTTTAATGCCCATTCACTTGTCTATGCATCAAGTATCTCTAGAAAGTTACACAAATAATTCATACAGATGGCTGCCTTTGGGGAGGGAAA